TCTGTTTACTCTGGTGTTGTTAGCTTAGGTGCTAGCCTTGCTCAGTTGCCTGTTGCTAGTGTAGGTTCTTGTGTAGACTCTAGTCCAGCGGCTACCTCAGAGGACGGTTCGCTGTCGTTCACGCTGGACTCTGGAGCCTCTCACTGCTTCTTTCGTGACAGCACGACACTTACGCCTCTTCCTGCGCCTGTTTCTGTGGCGCTGGCTGATCCCACTTCGGGACCAGTCACCGCGCGTCACACTACCACCTTGCCGTGTCCGGCTGCTCCTTCTGGGTCTCTCACTGGGTTTCACGTCCCCTCGTTCTCCCGGAACTTGGTGGGCGTGCGACCCCTCGTGAGTCAGCACGTGGGTGTGTGGTTTGAGCCTTCTGGAGAGACTGCGGTGTGTGTTGACGGGGACTCTTACCAGCCCCTCGCCACTTTTGCTGCTGAGCCGGGCTCCGGTCTCTACACTCTTCACACTGGCCCGCGCGCTCAGCAGCGACTGCAGCAGCAGCAGCAGCCGCAGCAGCAGCAGCAGCAGCAGCAGCAGCAGCAGCCCCAGCAGCAGCCACAGCCGCCCCTCCTGCCCCCGGCCCCTGTTTTGCCCCCCGTTCGAGTCCTCGCGTCTCACCAGGTTGCTCCGTCCCCCCAGGTAGCTGTGTCTTGTCAGGTTCCTCCGTCTAGTCCGGTCGCTGCGTCGTGCTCCTGTCGGTCGCTTGCCCACCCCACCGTTTTGTGGCACCACCGGCTGGGGCACCCTTCTCCTCCTCGTCTTCGCGCTATGTCTCGTCAGCGTCTTGTCTTAGGTCTCCCGCGTGTCTTGCCGTCGCTGCCGCCGTCTCTTGCACCACCGTGCGGTCCTTGCGTCGAGGGTAGGCTGCGCGCCACCCCTCACTCCTCCTCCCTTCGTCCGGCCACCGAGCCTTTTGAGACGCTGCACTTGGACGTCTGGGGCCCCTCTCCTCGCCCTGGCCCTGAGCGTGAGCGTTTCTTTTTGGTGGTCGTTGACGACTACTCCCGCTACACCACAGTGTTCCCCCTGGCGAGGAAGTCTGAGGTGACTTCTACGCTGATCAGGTGGTTGCTTACCACCCAGGACACTCGTGGTCGTCGTGTCAGCTGTCTCCACTCCGACCGCGGGGGCGAGTTTCGCTCCGGCATTCTCGCTGGATTCTGTCGCGAACAGGGCATTCGTCAGTCCTGGACGCTTCCGGAGTCCCCACAGCAGAATGGGGTTGCTGAGCGTCGCATAGGCCTGGTCATGGAGATTGCCCGCACCTCCTTGACTCACGCCCGTGCCCCCCCTTTCCCGTGGCCATACGCGGTCAGGTACGCCGCGCACCAGCTGAACCTCTGGCCACGCGTCTCTCGGCCGGAGGCTTCACCGACCAGTCTTTGGACAGGGTCCCCTGGTGTCGCGTCGAGGTTTCGTGTCTGGGGGTGCTTGGCTCTTGTCCGCGACACCTCCGCGGACAAGCTCTCGCCTCGCGCCGTTCCTTGTGTCTTCCTTGGTTTCCCTGAGGACTCCTCTGACTTCACCTTTTACCACCCTCCCTCTCACCGGTTCTTTGACTCCCGTGACGTTCGTTTTGAGGAGTCCACCCCCTACTACGTCAGGTACCCCAGTCGAGGTCTCCCGGTCCCTCCCCCCCCTCTCTTCCTGACCGCCGCTCCCCCGCCTGCTCCCCCGGTACAGCCTCCCCCCCCTGGTCCAGCCCCGTCTGGTGTGTCTCAGGCTAGCCCTCCCCCTTCGGTAGCCCCCCCTGTACAGCCTCCCTCCCCACAGTCTTCCTCGCCGCCTCCTGCAGGTGCTCCCTCTCGGGAGGTTGGTCCTGCGACTGTCCCTGTACAGGTCTCTGGTTCTGGGGGTGCTGGAGTTGGAGCTGAGCCGCGGGTTGCAGAGGACTCTTGTCTTCCGGGGGCTGGTACTGGTCGTGCGGAGTCTGGGGGTGCTGGTGCGGAGTCTGGGGGTGCTGCGTCTGGGGGTGAGGGTGTCCCTTCGGTTTCTAGAGAGCCTGGGTCTGGAGCTGGTGTTGGTGCTGCCTCTGGGGGTGGTGTACTTGGTGCTTCGGAGGTCGACTCTGGGGCTGCCGCTGCCCCGGACACTACTCCTTCCCCCCACCCCTACCCGACCAGGTTCCAGGCTCGTGTTCGCCGTGCTCGTGAGGAGCAGCTGGAGTTGGAGAGAGAGGAGAGAGAGTTGCAGCGGCTCGAGGAGCAGGAGCGACAGCAGCAGGAGCAGCAGCAGGGGCAGCAGCCGCTGGAGCAGCAGCAGCCGCAGCAGCCGCAGCAGCCGCAGCAGCAGCAGCTGCCGTCTCCTCCTCCTGTCTCGGGTCTTCGGACCCTTGGTCTCCCCTCTCCCTCTCCTTCCTCCTCCCCCTCTCCTCCCGTCTCTGGTCCTCCGCTTCCTCCTCCTGACCCCTCTCCCGCTGTTTTCCCTCGTTCTCAGTCTTCGTTGTCTCCTCCTCCTTCTCAGACTTGGGCCTCTCGTCGCTCCCCTCGTGCTCGTCCCTCGTCTCCTGTTCCCTTCACTGACCTTCGTACAGCCTTCCTTTGTTCTCGTCCACCTCGTCCGTCTCCGTCTGTGCTTCCGTCTCCTCCTGAGTCGGCCCTCACTGTGTCGCTTCCTTCTCCTGTCACTGACTACTACCGCACGTACCGTCCTGTTCTCTCTCGTGTTCTCGCCTCTCTTGTTACCCACCCTCGTGCCTCTGTGTCCTCTGTGTCCGCTCTTACTGCCGCAGTCACTGAGTTTGCCTCTACCCGCCGCCTTGACTTCGCCACCGCTCTTGTGGCTGCTCCTCCTTCCAGTCCTCTGGCCGTCGGGGGTGTGTCTGCCCTTGGCTGTGACGCCCTAGAGGACAGGCAGTTTGAGCTAGAGTTCCTGGCGGCCGCTTCCCCTCATCTCTGTGCCATGCTCCTCGCCCCTGAGGGTGACCCCGACGCCCTTGACATTCCGACTCCTCGCACTTACGCTGAGGCAGTGTCAGGGCCTTGGGCCTCTCAGTGGAGAGCTGCCATGGACGCAGAGATGGCCTCCTACAGATCCACAGGCACCTACGTCGATGAGGTTCCCCCTCCGGGGGCGAACGTAGTCGACGGCATGTGGATCTACAGGGTGAAGCGGCCACCGGGATCTCCTCCGGTCTTCAAGGCGCGCTACGTGGCTAGAGGTTTCAGTCAGCGCGAGGGAGTTGACTTCTTTCAGACCTTCGCGCCCACCCCGAAGATGACCACTCTTCAGGTGTTACTACACGTAGCAGCACAGAGAGACTACGAGTTACACTCTCTCGACTTCTCTACTGCTTTCCTTCAGGGCAGTCTTCACGAGGAGGTCTGGTTGCGTCGTCCCTCTGCCTTCACTGGCTCTTTCCCTCCTGGGACCCAGTGGAGGCTGAGGCGACCGGTTTACGGTCTTCGTCAGGCTCCTCGTGAGTGGCACGACACCCTGCGTTCTACCCTGTCTGACCTTGGGTTCCAGCCGTCTTCTGCTGACCCGTCGCTGTTCGTTCGTCGTGGCCCCACACCTTTCTTTGTTCTGGTCTACGTTGACGACCTTGTTTTCGCCACCCCTGACAGGGTTGCTTTGGCACACGTGAAGTCCGAACTGCAGAAGAGACACACCTGCACTGATCTTGGTGAGCTGCGCCACTACCTTGGCCTGCAGATCACCAGGGACAGAGCTGCTCGCACCATTACACTTTCACAGTCGCACATGGTGCAGCAGGTCCTTCAGCGGTTCGGGCTTCAGCACTCCACAGTACAGCGCACACCTCTTGCTGTTGACCACAGACTCACTGGACCCTTTCCTGACGACGCTGAGACTTACAGGTCTACTCAGGGGTACTGTTTCAGCCTGGGTTCTGGAGCTGTTTCCTGGCGGTCCACGCGCTCCTCTTCGGTCTCGACCTCTACAGCTGAGGCTGAGATCTACGCTGGTGCCATGGCGGCACAGGAGCTGCGTTGGTTGACCTTCTTGCTCACCGACCTTGGTGAGCGGCCGAGCTCTGCACCGACCTTGTTCACTGACAACAAGGCGTCTATTCTCCTTTGTCGAGAGCCACGACTGGAGAGCAGAGTGAAGCACATTCACGTCAGGTACTTTCTTCTGCGAGAGTTGCAGAGGCGTGGACAGGCTCGCTTTGAGTTTGTGGAGTCCGAGGCCAACACTGCAGACATCTTCACCAAGGCGCTTCCGCCTTGTGACCACCAGAGGTGCTGTGTGCAGTTAGGCCTTGTTGACACTGGTTCTCGTGTTGCTTAGACTTGAGTGTACTGTTTACTTTGCTTTCTATATACCTCTGTTACTTCTTGGACTGGCCTTGTGGCCACTGTTGTTTGTGCTCAGACTGTGTGGTGACGTTGTGATCCACCCTGAGCTTCGTTTCTTGGACTGGTCTTGTGACCGTACTCGTTTGGTTCTGCTAGACACCCCTCACTTAGGCTATGGGGGTGTGTCAAATGTTGTAGCCTATAGTGAGGTTTGTCTTAGGGGGTACAAAACTTAGGGTTAGCTATATGTACCCCAACCAACATCAATGCATCATCCATTCTTCATTTTGACAGTAATGCAGCAATGGCAACCGCGAAGTGCTAGACGCTCTTCGCCAACTATATAGCAGGGGGTGGAGGCCATTTGGCCTCCACCCACGTCTTCATTTGAAATTTCAACTGCATTATTTCCCACCCACCCACCCTAGCAAAAACTGCATGTTGTAATGTAGGTATGTATACTTAGCCGGACGAGAATGTTGTAATGCCCATTTGAAACGAAGCACGTTGCCATTGCAAGACATTTGAAACGAAGCACGTTGCCATTGCAAACACAAGAAAGCAAGCTTTCTAAATTGTTCCATTCGTGGTGCATTATATACAGGAGAACACTGTACAGACGCTTCTTACAAACTAGACACTGAAATGCACTGCATGGACCATTGCCGATTGCCCACTAACAATGCACTGCCTTTCTATCCCACCCCAACATTCAGCAGCAGCAGCACCACCACAATTCATACTCTAATCATGCTTCCCACCACCACCGCCGCCAGCAGCACTGGAGAAGTAATACTCATCAATCAGAAGCAGCAAGATAAAGAACACCACTGCATGCACCAGCACTGACGCCAGAGACGTGCGCCAATTGCGGAACTCTATTGGCTGATTGTCGCCTGGAATCTGAGACGAAACGGTGAGAGAGAAAGAAAGGTAGAGGGAAACGGATTGGGAGTGCATAAGGCAAGATAAGAGAAACGGTGGGGTGTGAGGTAAGGTTGGAGACTCTGCAAGCGGAAATTTCAGATAAGAATGAGTAAATCCACGTGGATGGTATCTGACAGAACGAGACACGCAACGCAGACCTCCCGTTACAACCATAATCTTGTTCAAGCACTGCACTGAGAGTACCTGAAGCAGCAGTCCGGGAGACAGCACGATGAAGAGCACGACGATGAGAAGCAGAGTTAGCCAGCTGAAAGCCATGGTGAACAGAGCAACTGCACCCTGAATATCGGTTATGTTGACGCTGGTGACGCTGGTAACGCTGACACCGGCTATGGTAACGCTGACGTGTCACACGAGATTAATCTCTTGGTTTGATTCGCGCGTGGCTAACGAACAGATCCGCAAGCTCTTCCTCGACTGTCACTGACAATCCGCCAAAGGACCTCCGGAATCTTCTTCGCGAAGCTGAACGCCTGGAGCCGAACAGGAAGGAGAGAGCGAGGAGAATGCGAAGCGGGATAAACAGGAGGGGAGCGATGAAGGGGGTAACGAGCAGAAAGGCCGACGCGGCGATGGCGTGTAGTAGGCGCGGGAGGGGAGACCGACCCATGGGAAGCATGTGAGTGATGGGAAGGAAGGAACACGCATTGGGTGCGAGCGAGCGAGCCAGTGTGCTGCATGCGTCCAATCCCAGCGCTCTGAAAGGAATTTCCATTGCGATACGCGGCTTGAGTGGCGTTGCTGCCACCTCGGGTGCGATGAGAGGCGCGTGCATGGCGGCGGTGACCCTGAGGCGTGACGTGCCACGAGTAGGGAAATGACGGCTGAGTTCCAGCTGTCCTTCATTCTAGTGGAATGAAGGTGCTCGTTCGCAAAGGGCCTCAATCGGATGCGGAATCAAGCTGGCGTTAGAGTCCTCGCTATTAGCGCCTCTTGTTGCGCTACCGTGGACGACTAGGCTCTGTATATGACAAGCACGCAGAACCTAGATTTTGGTTTTCCGTTCATTGATGAGAATAACTGAATGGCTTAAGAGGTGGTAACAAAATAAGGAAAAATCGTATCATATTTATATTGACTAATGAACGAGCACTGCAAATGTCTCTTCTGACACAACTAAGCATCTGATCTGATCTGATGGCTATGAAGTGAAAGGAATGAGCTTCACAAAGCCATCACCGCCACATGTGAGAATGCCATGGGTTGATGGAATTATGTCCATCACACCAACCTGGAATCGAGACAGAGGGGAGGTCGGGGAAGGGAAGGGGGGAAGGGAAGGAGGGGTACAAGAATGGGTAAAAAACCACCACATTCACCATCACCACATGTGAAAATGCCATGGGTTGAGGGAATTATATCCATTACACCGGCTTGCCATTCAAGCACAGAGGGGCGGGGCAAGAAAATCGGAAGGAGGGGTAAGGATGGGTAACAGAGCACCCACATTCACCGTCACAATGGGAACCAGAAAGTCAACCATCAGGTCTGCGCAATGCCTCACTCACTCCCTCGGACACCTCAGGTCTGAGCAACGCATCCCTCAACCAAATAGTTAACCATCAGGTCTACGCAACACATTCACCAGCGTGACTAGCACAGCCCACACAGCAGCACACCAACCTGCATGACGACCCAAATCCACGGGCATTGAGGAAGGTGCGCTTCTCATGCACGCGCGGCCACTCCCGGAGCAGCCGGCAGCGCGAGGCGTCCCACAGCTTCACCTCGCCCTCCTTGCCCGCACTCAGGAACAGCGGCGTGCCGGGCACCGCTAGAATCGCCGACACACACCTGCTGCCCTGCCGCTCCTACCCAGCAGCCAACACAACGCCACAGCACAACACAGCACACCAAACCACACCACACCAAACCACACCTCACCAGACCGCACTAAACCCACCTGCATAACCGCTCCGAATCCACGTGCATTCAGAAACGTGCGCTTCTCATGCACGCGCGCCCACTCCCTGAGCAGCCGGCAGCGCGACGCATCCCACAGCTTCACCTCGCCCTCCTTGCCCGCACTCAGGAACAGCGGCGTGCCGGGCAGGGATAGAATCGCCGACACACTGCTGCTGTGCGCCCTGGGAATGTGCCACAGCGCCCTATCCCCATACCCACCACCACCGCTTCCCACCACTCCACTGCCAGCACCATTGCTGCTGTTGTTGCTGTTTCTGCTTCCGTCTTTGTTGCCCCCTCCTCCGCCCCCGCCCCCGCCCCCCTTGCGGCCGCTCTTGCCGCTGGCGATAAACCGGAAGTCATGAACCGAGATGTCTCCACCCTTGCCGCCCGTCACGATCAGCGAATGAGACGCCGACAGCTGTCCTCCCCCTCCCCCTCCGTTGCCGTCTCCTGCTCCTCCTCCCCGTGCTCCTGCTCCCCCGGTGCTCCCTGTGGCAGCGGCTGGGATTGTGTTGTCGACGATGGCAATGCTGGTGGCGCCACCTGCAGTGGCGCGATGTGGGGGGATAATGGTGACATGAGTGGGGGGATAATGGTGAGAAGGAGGACACAGGGTGGAAAAAAAGGGGTAAATTTGAGAGAAACAAAGAAAGGGGCGTTTCTCTCCAATTTGTTTGTTAGTCTGTTTGTTTTCTTTTCCATTCGTGCATGGCTGGGAATGTATGCGTGAAGGGTGGACCTGCCTTGATGGCAGTTGATAACAACACGGGAGGCGTTGGGCGGAGCCAGAGAGTCCCACACAACCAGGTTGTCCTGCGACGGGCTGAGTCCCATGCAAGAGCTCATGCATGGCAGGAAGCTCAGGATTGAATGTTGGACTCTCATGGACTTGCCTTGGTGGCAGTTGATGGCAACGCGAGAGGCGTTGGGTGGGGCGAGGGAGTCCCACACAACCAGGTTGTCCTGCGAGGGGCTCTGCCCGACCGCTGCCAGCACACTGCTGCTCGCCCCTATGAATGCCACTCCACTGTGGGCAGGGGATGCAGGGTGGAGTGGGGTGAGGTGGATTGGAGTAGTGTGGGTTGGGGTGGAGTGGAGTGGAGTTCGGTGAGGTGGAATTTGTTACGTCTCAACTGTCCCAAACGATCTGATTTTCCTGAGAAGGGCTCTGCCCCACTGCTGCCAGCACACTGCTGCTGGCGCCTATGAACGCCACGCAACTGCAGGGTGGGTTTACAGGTGGAGTGGGGTGGGTTGAGGTGGGATTTTTAAGACATCTCAAGAGTCCCACACGACCGGATTGCCCTGCGAGGGGCTCTGCCCCACTGCTGCTGGCGCCTATGAACGCCACGCGGTGAGGTGAGGTGGAGCGGGGTAGGGTGAGAGGGGCATGTGCGCCCTGGCCCACGGGGCGCGCCTTGGTCCACGGGGCGCGCCTTGGTCCATGCGCGCGCCTTGGTCCACGCACGCAGTGTTTCGTTTCCGTGGGCTTCACGTTGCTCCTCCCCCCCACCTCTAGCTGCCACATCGACACCGTCCCGTCCGCAGCAGCAGCCTCGCAGCAGCAGCCTCTCAGCAGCAGCCACGGCCTCTTTCCCACCTCCCTCGCTTCACATGTCTCACCTGCCACAATACCATCCCCTCATTCCCCTCTCACCTTGCACTCCGCCCAAAGCAGTGCTTGGTCTCTGTGGGCTTCACGTTGCTGCGCCCGCCCACCTCCAGCTGCCACATCGACACCGTGCCGTCCGCAGCAGCGGTGGTGAATCGCTCGCCGTAGCGGTGGATGGCGAGGGAGGTGACTGAGGGAATGACGAGCGGCACTGGTGTGTTGGCCGCTGGCAGCACGCCGTATGTGGCAGTTGCTGCTGGCGCACCGAACTGGGGGGATGGGGAAATGGCATATGGGGAGGGGATGACAGATGGTGAAGCGGGTGGAGCCCATGCTTTCCAGAGCAACAACAGCAGCAGCGGTGGCGAATCGCTCGCCGTAGCGGTGGATGGCGAGTGAGGTGACGGAAGGAATGACGAGCGGCACTGGCGTGTTGGCCGCTGGTAGGACCCCGTACGTTGCTGTTGCTGCTGGTGCACCGAACTGGGGGGAGTGAGGGGAAGCAGAATGTAGAACAGAAGAAGGTGTTGGTAGACACCAACCCACCTGCCAGAGCAACCCACCTGCCAGAGGTAGACATGCGTGTTGGTAGAGCCGACCAGGAAGAAGGGCCTGAGAGGGTGAGCAGCCAATGCCCTCCCCGCCACTGATTCTGCCGTAGCAGGCGGGTCAACATACCCCTCCTCTGCATCCTCCAAGTCCTCCCACCTGTGAACAGTTGGGAGGACTGCTGCTCTCTGTCGGATACACACCTGACCAAGAGCAGCAGCCCACACTGACCTGCCAGAGGTACACATGCGTGTTGGTGGAGCCAACAAGAAAGAATGGCCTGAGCGGGTGAGCCGCCAGCGCCCTCCCTGCAACAGACTCAGCTGTAGCAGGAGGATCCACATACCCCTCCTCTGCATCCTCCAAGTCCTCCCATCCCAACCCCCACGCGCCTATCCCCCCATACCCCGGAATCCCCATCCCCACTCCGCCCGCATAAGACGAATCCCGAGCCGCCGCGCCCCGGCCCACCGCCGAGCCTATCGGGGAGAAGGGAGAGGAGGTATTCGCAGGGGTGCCGCCGATGCTCGCGCTGCTGAAACTGCTGCTCCCGAACCCACCCAGCCTGCCCACTCCTCCCCCGCCTCCCATGCTCCCCGCCCCACTGCTTCCCATGCTCTCCCCGCTTTGCCCTGCTCCCCCGCCCCAACCACCCCCACCACCACCAGCAGCACCAGCAGAACCGGGTAGGTTCATGCGGCCGCTAGGGGAGTGCGTGAGGAGGGCGAAGTGGGCAGGAGGAGGCGTGGCAACCCGGCCAGCATAGCTGTCAGCCGGCCAGCAGGCAGACGCCCACAGATTGTCAAACACTGCAGAGCCGCCCGCACCCGCATGACTACCGTAACCAGCGTAACCAGAACCACTGGCATAACCCGAAGCACCACTGTGACCAGAAGCACCAGTGTAACCAGAGGAAGAAGAGGAGGAGGAGGAGGAGGAGGAGGTGGAGAGGATGTCAAAGAAGAGTAGGCCCTTTCGGTTGGTGGCCACCACTGCTTGCCTCGGATTCAGAGCATTCACACACACCCCTTCCAGCAACTCTCCCCCTGTTTTAAGCACCTCCAGAGGTTCTCCAAGCGCTGTTTTCGCCCACCTCACACCCGCCTCCTCTTCCCCCTCTCCCCCTTCCCCCCCCTCACCTGACTTGCTGTCATCTGGTTCTTCTCCTGCCCCTCCTTTCACCCTCCCCGCGTGCTCCCCCTCACTCGCTCCCGCCCTCCTCGCCTGCTCCCTCACATCCCCCATGCTCCCCCCAGCGCTTCCCCACTTCCCCCCTCCTCCATCCACCTCTTTCTCTCTCCCAATCAGCCCAATCAGGCTCGGTGTTGACACTGCTCTTGACCCCAACCCCCCTACCCCAAGACCTAAGTGCGCCTCTGTCTGCACTCGCTCCATTCCTCCCCCAGCGCCCCCCCTCCCCCCTCTCCCTTTCCCCCCTGCTTCCCCCCATCCCCCCCCTGCGCCTCCCCCAGCTGTCACCTTCCCCTGCCCACCTCCTCCTCCGCCCCAGCCTCCTCCTGCTTCTCCTCCCCCACCTCCCCCTCCCCATCCTTCTCCTCCTTTTCCTCCTCCTCCTGCTGTGGCTGCTGCTGCTGCCGCTGTTGCTGCGGCGGCGGCTCTTCTAGCTGCCTTTTCCGCAGCTGCCACGTCAGCTTCTCTCCTCTCCCTCCACGCTGCCAGCTCAGCAAAATCGAATCCATCGACGCCCAGAACGCTGCGCAGCTTGTCCTTAGCGACCACAAGCTGCCAAAGCTTGCCACACGCCCGGCCCCACTCTCCCAAATCACATGCCCCTCCCACCCCCCCTTGCTTCCCTCCCCTCCCGTCCATCCCTCCCTTCCCCTCTTTCCCTTCATCCTTCCCCCCTCCTCCTGCCCTCGCCCCCCCCACCCCTGTTGATCCCAACGCACTTTTTCCCAAAACAGAAGGTCCCCTGATACCACCTACCCCAGATGTACTTCCCCCCAGCCTCCCACCAGCCTTACCAGCAGCAGCACCTGCACCAGCAGCACCACCAGGCCCTTCTGCCTCATTATTAGGAGCTTCGATATAAGCCACATCTGCTGCAGCAGCGAGGACTAGAACAGGGCCGGAATCAGGGGACTCGAGCACTGTATGGGGTACGTCAGGGAGCAAGGGGCTTGTCTCAGGTCGTGTAGGGGTTACCATGCTGAAAGGCATTCCTGTTGCCATCCCTCCTGCCGTCCCTCCTCCGATTCCCGCTGTGGTGGTGCCTGGTGCAATCCCTGTTGCCGCAGCAGCGCCAGCTGTGCTGGGATGGGCGGATGGCAGGTGCGAGTGCGTGGAGGCAGCATGAGTGGTATGTACAGCAGCAGCAGCAGCGTCTGGGTGTGTGGGTATGTTGCCGTGGTGCCGTGACATGTGTCCCAGGCCCCCACTGCTGTGCATCTGCTGCTGATTGTGCTGCTGGTGGTGCTGCTGCTGCTGCTGCTGCTGCTGCCCGTGCTGCTGCCCGTGCTGGTGGTTGTGCTGGTGGGTGTGGTGCAGTGAGTGTTCATCTGCCAGCCACTGCAGCAGCCCATCCGCTGCTGCTAGGGATGCCAAGTGAGCATACGCAGAAACAGCTTCCTCCTTCAAACCACCATCAGTGGCACCGCCACCACCACCACCACTACCACCTGCAGCGACCTGTGCACTCCTGGTACTCCTAGCACTCCCCTTGCTGCCCACGCCCTGCGCTCCTCCTCCTGCTCCCCTGGGCATGTGCATGCGGGTGCTGACGTGTGCTGCCAGCTGGCGCCTCAGAGCAGACGCCACGCGTGCAGACGCGAGGACCAGCGCATCAGAGGCTGCTGCTGCAGCACACGCGTCTGGAAGTAGCGCCTGTGGAAACAAGTGTGCTGGATCCGCTGCTGCTGCCTCTCTGCTACCCCGTCCCCCTCTCTGTCCCCCTGTCCCTGTCCCTGCTCCCGCCCCTGCCCCTGCCCCTGCCCCTGTCCCTGCCCTTTGCTCACCCCCTCCTCCTGCCCTGTCTGCTGCTTTGGCTGCTGCTGCCACTGCCGCTGCAGCAGCTACTGATGCTGCTCCCGCCATTCCCCCTCCTGCTGCCCCTGTTGGCTTCAAGTGAGAGGGTGCAGGGGAGGGAGCAGGGGAGGGCGCGGGGGAGAGGAGGGAGGAGGAGGAGGAAGGGGCAGGAGAGGCTGGGGAGCCCCAAGGCCGGGCAAAGGCGGAGAAGAAAGAGGAGGTAGCAGGAGGGAGCGGCTGCTGCTGCTGGTGCTGGTGGTGCTGGTGGTGCTGGTAATGCTGCTGCTGCAGCAGCTGGTGTTGGTGTTGGTCAGGGGAAAGAAGGGCGTGCGGGTGGAGGTGGGGAGAGAGAGGAGGGGTGGAGAGGGTGGGAGTGGTGGTGCCGCTTTGGGGTGGGCTGTAGGGAACAAAGTGATGCGGGGGCTGCCAGTGCTGCTGCTGCTGCTGCTGCTGCTGCTGCTGCTGCTGGTTGTGATGCTGGGGGAGGAGGTGGGAGAGGTGGTGAGGGTGGGCGGGGGGGGCTTGCATGGGACTGCGTCCCCCCTGCCCCTGCTGCACACCCTGCTGCACACCCTGCTGCACACCCTGCTGCACACCCTGCTGCACCCCCCGGTGCTGCTGCTGGTGCTGCTGCAGGTGCTGCAGGTGCTGGGGCTGCTGCGGCTGCTGCTGGTGGTGGTTCTGCAGGTACGACTGGACAGGTGACATCCACCCAAACGACCTGAACGCCCGGCTGATCAGCGATGGGGGCACGGCCTGCTTCCTCACATACCGCTCCACTAGCGACCACACCGACGCGCCCACAACGTGCCACATGTCATCCTCTGATAGGACCACCACTCTCCCCTCAACCACCGCCCGTCCAGGTCCAAAGAACCTGCCCTCCTCATCCTTTCCCCCATGCTCCGCCACGCCCTGCCCCCCCTCCTTCTCCTTATCCCCTTTTTTCTCCCCCCCTGCACCATTAACTCCCCCTCCTCCATGCACCAGACCCCCTCCCTGTTCTCCCTCCCCTCCTTCGCCAGCCGCCCCACCTCCCCCATCTACCCGTCTCTCCCATCCTCTCTCCAGCCCCAGAAACCACTCTAGGCAATCCTCCCCTTCTCCAGGCAGCACAGGCGCTCCACCAACCCCCCGAACCCCCACTCTCCCCCCCACACTCCGCCCCACTCTCTCCCCTTCCCCATTTCCCCCAGTTCTCTCCCCAAACCCGCCCTCCCCGACCCCTCTCCATCCTCTCTCCACTCCTCGCTCCCTCACCACCGGTTCGAGCAGTCGAGCGAGGGTGAGAGGTCTGTGGGAGACCCAAGCAGCGGTGACAAAGCAGATGAGAGCTAGAGCAGCCACTACTCGCCCCTCTGCGTCTATCTTCTGCTCTAGCAAGGTCTCTGCTTCGTCTAGAGCCATGTGAGGCGGGATGGGGGATGTGGGGGGGGTGAATGATGGGCTAGATGGGTGGTTCCTTGCATTGGCAGCTGCAGCAGCTGCTGCAGCAGAGGCAGAGGTTGAGGCAGGGGCAGAGGCAGCATTGGCTGCGGCAGCAGCAGCAGAGGTGGCAGAGGCAGCTCGCATTGCCGCTGCTCCTTCCCGCCACATCTGCAGAATCTCCCCTGCCACGTGGACCAATCGCAACGCATCCACACCCAGTCCCTCGTCCAGGTAACGATTCAGCAGTCGCTGCTTCCTTTCCAGCTTCTGCTGCCGGTCCTCCTGCTGCTGCAGCCCCTGCTGCTGCTGCCGCTCCTGCTGCTGCTGGTGGTGGTGTCGTGGTGCAGAGCTCGTTTCCCCACCAGGCCCAGAGCCCACTCGCTTCACCCTCCACCTCCCTCCACCCACCGCCCCTCTCCCCATGACCACCCGTGACAGCGCAGGGGGCAGACTCACGGCTACTCGCCTAAGGATTGCCATGCACAGCTGTGCCCGTAGATCTTCAACGGGGTGGGGCGGATGGACGGTGGAGATTGCATCCGGGCGCTGGAGCGGCCTGGGGATGTGCCACTGTGCCAGGTGGGCGGTGACGTGGCACAAGGTGAATGGCTGAGATGTGGTTACAGCCTGGGAGGATATCTGAAATGCAAGTGAGAGGAAAGGGAAAGGAAAGGGAGGTGAGGGAAAGGGGGTGGGGGAGGATTACAACTTAAACGTAAGGGGATGTAACTCAGGGGTGGAAACGGGAATGAGGAAATAGAGGTGGTAGTGAGGGCGCCACACATACGAAGTTCATAGGTTTCCTCATCAACAGCACGGAAAGGATGGTGGTGGTAAGAACACTTAGTTATAAAGCTGCTCTATCTGAGAGCAGCTGAAGCGAAGTATCAGCTGGGGCAGTAGTAAGGGAGAAAGAGACTCACAGCAGCGAGGGCAGCGGTGTGATCGCTTGCACAGTGCTTGGCCCATGCCTCCACTTCCTCCACCACCTCACACACACCCCTGCTCTCTCCTCCTCTCCCTCCTCCTCCTCTCCTTCCCCCCACTCTCCCTTCTCCCTCACCGCTCTTAACCACTCCATCCGCCACACTAGCAGCAGCAAGGCAGGCAGCAGCTCGCTGCTTGAGCAGCTGGCGCAGCTTGGCTGATTGCACTGCTGCCACCACAGCAGGCACCACCCATCCCTCCCCCACCACTGCTGGCACCGACCCTACTGTCTTCCCCACCATTGCCCCCTTTGCCTCCATGGGAACACTCAAACCAGCGCCCCTCCCTTCAACCGAGCCTACAGCGCCATTGCTATCCGAACCTACTCTCATGCCTTGGAAATCCAACGCCCCACCACTGAACCCACCAGCACCGCTCTGCGCCTGACCAGCACCGCTCTGAACCGGACCCAAACCCCTCTGCTTGGTGATCTCGAGCACGGATTGCAGCACGAGACCCATGTGGTCGCTCCCACTCACTGCCTCCACTGCTGCCACTGCTGCCAGCCTCTGCACCGCTTCTAACTCCTCCCCTAACCCCGGCTTCCTTGCCACTGTGGCACAGAACGCTGCCACCTCAGCGCCAGCTGGCTCGGCTGCTGACGTGGCAGGGTGGGACGGGGCGAGTGCTGAGCTGGCAGTGTTGGCGGTGGAGGAGGAGGAGGAGCGAGTGAGGGAGGGAGTGTTGGTGTTCTGGTGGGAGGACAGGACAAGGTCTTGTAGGGCTTCGAGCTTTTGGCCCATGAGCCACTGTGACGGGCAGGCAGGGCAGCAGACAGAGGGGATGGAATGGGTGTGAGAGCAAATGAAATTCAAGCCAACTCAGAATTCATCTCGAGATGACAGGACAAGGTCTTGTAGGGCTTCGAGCTTCTGTGAACCCTAAACCCATGAGCCACTGGGCAGGGCAGCAGACAAGGGGAATGGAGTGGCAGCGCAGGCAGGGCATGGGTTAGGTTCTGCTTGATGACGTTGAACGATGTGGAACAAAAGATATGACAAATGTTATAGCACAATTGATACAGGCACCAATTGACAACAACCAAAACGACCCTAAACTCTGAACTGAAAAGCCTCACCCTGAGTGTGCAAACCATTTCGAGAGCATGCCGCTGCAGAATCAGGAAGCACGCACCCCCTGTATACACTCAAGCCCCTCACCTTGAGCGTGCAAACCATCCAGGCATCTCCCTTAGAAGAAGCATCTGGCAGCAGCAGGCGCTGAATCACATCCTTTGAATATGCTGCCGCCCCGGCCTTGTCCTCCCGCAGCCGGCACAGCACGAGCGCCAGCTGGGGGTCGTCGAGGTTGCATTAAGGCACACACACGGAGGCGGCGGAGGGGAGGGAATGTCACTTTCTCACCTTGAGCGTGCAGACCATCCAGGCATCTCCCTTAGAAGCAGCATCCGGCAACAAAAGCCGCTGAATCACATCCTTTGAATATGCCGCTGCCCCCGCCTTGTCCTCCCGCAGTCGGCACAGCACGAGTGCCAGCTGCGGGTCGTTGAGATTGCGCGCACACACGGAGGCGGCAGAAGGGATGTCTTCTCCCAGGAGGAAGAAGGTGGCTGCGAGATCGAAGCGGTGCTGCGACAGCAGCACATACGCGTTCTTTAACGCTGCTGCCCTGTGTCGCTCCTCCTGTGTGGACGAATAGTGGGTGGGAAAAAAGGCGGGTGCGAGGTCAAAGCGGTGCTGAGAGAGCAGCACATACGCGTTCTTCAGTGCTGCGGCCCTGTGCCGCTCCTCCTGTTAGGATGCACGGGAGGAATGTGGGACAGAGGGATGGGGGGGAAGGGGGGCATATCTGGGTGACGGCACTGTTTTGGCCACTGGCAGCACAGCACGAGGAAGAGAGTGCCAGCTGGGGGTGGTTGAGGTTGCGTGCACGCACGGAGAAAGAGATGTTTTGAGACGTCTCAAAACATCTCTATTATCTCAAGTGCCAGCTGGGGATCATTGAGGTTGCGTGCACACACGGAGAAAGAGATGTTTTGAGACGTCTCAAAACATCTCTGTTATCTCGAGTGGTAGTTGGGGGTCGTTGAGGTTGCGTGCACACACGGAGGCGGCGGAGGGAATGTCCTCTCTCATGACATATGTGTTCTTCATGGTAATATTAGCGGTAATGGTAATTGTAATGGTAGTGGTAGTGGTAATGGTAATGGTAATGGCAATTATAGTGGTTATGGTAATGGTAATGGTAATGGTAATGGCAATGGTAATGGTAATGGTAATGGTAATGGTAATGGTATTGGTAATGATAATGGTAATGGTAATGGTAATGGTAATAGTAATGGTAATGGTATAAGTAATGGCATTTCTAATGGTAGTGGTAATGGTAATGGTAATGGTAATGGTAATGGAAATGGTAATGGTAATGGTAATGGTAATGGTAATGGTAATAGTAATGGTAATGGTAATGGTAATGGTAATGGTAATGGTAATGGTAATGGTAATGGTAATGATAATGGTAATGGTAATGGTAATGGTAATGGTAATGGTAATGATAGTGGTTTTAGTAACGATAACAGTAATGGTAATAGTGCGGCACATACCGTTCCTCCTGTGCGGATGTACGGGAGGGATGGAAGATGGAGCAGGGAGTGGGGGGGAGGAGGTGAATAGGGCAGACGGAGGAAAAGGGAGGTCCCAGCAACCCTCCCAGCAACACTCTCTGTAGCCCTCCCGGCCCATAGCACCAACCCCTACTGCTAGTGCATCCCCGTTCACTCACAGACACATACGTACCGTGAAGTCTCTCCCCAGGAAATCCACGAGTTTCTTATCCCTGTCGTCACGGCTCAGCTTAAGCAGCCCGTGCAGCACGGAGCGGCGGTCCAGCACCATGTAGGGTATTGTTCACTCAGACACACACACGTACCGTGAAGTCCCTCCCCAGGAAATCCACGAGTTTCTTATCCCTGTCGTCACGGCTGAGCTTGAGCAGCCCGTGCAGCACGGAGCGGCGGTCCAGCACCATGTAGAGCAGCGTTCACTTCACTCACAGAATCTCACACACATACGTACCGTGAAGTCCCTCCCCAGGAAATCCACGAGTTTCTTATCCCTGTCGTCGCGGCTGAGCTTAAGCAACCCGTGCAGCACGGAACGGCGGTCCAGTACCATGTAGAGCAGCGCACAGTCCTTGGGATCCCTCCGCTGTTGATACTGCGCCCGCGCTACCCTCTCCATCTGGATGGGTCGGGAGGGAAAGGGACGAAGGGAAGAGAAGGAACACAGGGGAGGGTTAGTCAGAGTATCATGTAGAGCAGCGCACGGTCCTTGGGATCCCGCCTCTGCTGATACTGCGCCTGTGCCACTCGCTCCATCTGGGGGAGGGAAAGGTCGTGGGGGCGAGGGGTAGGGTGGAAGGGGACGGGGGAAGACTCTCGAGTGTACCCAGAAGTGCCACCTCTGCTATACTGTCCCATTGCCACTCGCTCCATCTGAAGGAGGAAGGGTGGGAAAAGAGTGGTGGGGTAAGGAAGGGAATGAGATGGAATGGGTGGCAAGGGCGTAAAACCAGCAGCGCTGGAAACCACCACACTCCACCACACTTCACCGCACTGCACCACACTAAACCGCACTCCACCATCGATGGTCATACACCCACCAGCTGTCTGAGCTGCGAGGTGTTGCAGAGCCAGTACCCGACCCCCAGCGCCCTGAGCCCTGCCCATGTGGGCTTGTCGGCATCATGCAGGCATGCATTCACCGCATCACGCACTGACTCCGTGTGCACCGCCCATGCCACCACCAGCTACCTACCACACTCTACCACACTCCACACTCCACCTCACTCCACCACATTCTATCACATGATAGATGAAGACTGTAGAAAGGCAAGCACCCACCAATTGCCGGAGCTGCGTGGTGTTGCAGAGCCAGTATCCCACTCCTAGAGCTCTCAACCCCACCCAGGTGGGCTTGTCGGCATCATGCAGGCATGCATTCACCACATCACCCACTGACTCCGTGTGCACCGCCCATGCCACTGCACGCGACTCCACCTCCAACTGCCCCTCCTGCCCCTGCCCCTGCTGCTGCCCCTGCCCTTGCTGCCCCTGCCCCTGCTGCTGCTGCCCAATTCCAGCTGCACCTGCCCCGGATACACCTCCCCCGGACCTGCTGTTGCTGCTGGTGAGTGTGTTATTGCTGGGCCTGCGGTCAGAGGAAGAGCCATAGGAGGAGGCTGCTGCTCCTCCTGCTCTGGTGGTTGCTGCAGAGGCGGCCTTTTCAGCTGCTGCCGCTGCCGCTGCAGCAGCAGCGGCGGCACGGCGCTGCTGGTGCTTCTTTGCTGCACGGGAGAGGTGGAGTGCGAGCCAGAACCTGCAGGAGGGAGGGACAGGTCACAGGAGGGGTGACTGCATGTGAGAGGTGCAGTGTGTTGTCAGCCAGAGAATGTGTCAGCCTGTGGGAAAGGTTGACTTTAGAGTCGACTCAAAAGTCAACTCGATACTTGACTGCATGTGAGAGGTACAGTGTGTTGTCAGCCAGACGGGAAGAAGAGTGTGTCAGAGAATGTGGGGGAAGAATGTGAGGGGAGAGAGAGCAAAATGCGTCAAACGGGGAAAGGGAGGGAGGAGGGAGGGAGGAAGGGCGGGAGGGAGGGAGAGAGGGAGGGAGGGAGGTCAGGACAAGAGACTACCTTTTCCCCGGTTCATCGAGAGCTTTGACTGCTCGCGCCACCGACGCTGCTGCTGACGATGATGACAACGATGGACCGCCCTCGGGCTGCAGCTGTAACTCCTCCTCCTCCTTCACACCCACCCCATCCATGGCTGCAAGCACATCTAGCAGCACAAGTACCATGTCCGCCTCCCCAGCCATCAACCCAGGCACCCCCATCCGTGTGCCACTACCAACACCAGAGATGGTGCTGCTGCAGGTCCCGCCTGCCTCAGATAGCACCTGGAAGATGGCTGTTGCCTCGGCCTCTGTGAAGGGAACCTGTCCCCCCACCAGCACCCGCTGCTGCAACTGCTGCCACCGCAACACTGCAGGCGACACAACCCCACTACCTTTTCCTCCCAGCACTCCTCCTCCACCACTATCATCACCCGTGCTGCTATCTCCTGCTGCTCCAGCTGCTGCTGCCCCTCTCTTCCCACCCACTCCCACCTCTTCCTCAGCCTCCTCGTCCCCATCACTGTCATCAAAAGCACTTCTCACGTTCACAAGACTAAAAGGATTATACGCTTGCTTGGACCCACCACCACCACCACCACTCGCCCTAGCACTAGTCCCCCCTCCAGTGCCCCCACCACCCCCACCGGACCTGCTTCCCACGCTGCTTTCTCCTGTGCTGCTGAACCCACTGAAACCCCCTCCAAACCCTCCAAAATCCCCTCCAAATCCTCCTGACAAACGCCCAGACGAGACAGCAGAAGCCGCCAACCCACCGGCAGCAGCAGTCGACGCTTTCGCACCAGAAGCAGAGGCAGAGGCTTCAGGGAGGCACAGCTGCGAATAGGGGACACAGGGAGAGACGCCAGAACCACTGGAGGAAACCAGGTGACCGTGAGTGAAACCCTTGACCTGCTGCTGAATGCAAGCCTTGGCTTGGGCAGCAGCGAGGGAGCGGGAGAGGTGGCGGATGCATGCGCGTGCAGATGGCACGAGGCCCTGGTTGAGTAGAGTCCAGATGACTGTTGGGTGGTAGTCAGGGACCACTGATGCCACTGCTGCCACCGCATCAGACAGCAACAGCTGCCCGCTGCCGTCCAGCGCACGGACCAGCGCGGATACTTTCACATCCTCTGAACCAGCACCCAGCCCTCCTTCCGGGATAATCTCGCTTCCTCCTGCTGCTGCCCCTCCTCCTGCCTCTCCTGTTCTGCTGGTGAACCGTCCGCTACTGCTGCTAGTATCACGCTCTGCAGGGCTGCCCAGAAGGCCAAAGTTGGGCGCAGACGGAGTGTATGGCATCACCCGACCCCCTCCTAGCACTCCTGCCCTTCCCCCTCCTCCTCCCCCTCCCGCCCCTGCTGCCCCTGACCCTAATCCTGCTCTTGCACCTGCCCCTGCTCTGCCTGCCCCTCCCGTGCCTGCCCCTGCTGTACCTGCCCCAGCTAGGACACTCTGAACCGCTGCTAGAGCCGGGTCCGAAGCTGACAGCGGCAGGGACAGGCGGCTGGACACCCGAGCCACGGGCCGAGCCTGCGCGCCAGCCCCGGACCTGCCGCTTCGGGAGGCGACGACCGCAAGGTCAGTGAGGCTGATGTGGGACATTGAGGTAAGGCTGAGGTGCGAAGTAGCAGGAGAAATCCAAGGGGAGACAGATAGGGATAAGTCTGCTGCTGATGGCTCTCGGGAATAGGCAAGCCCAAGCCCGGCCTTGCCTGCTGTGAACCCTGTCCTGACTCCCCCTCCTCCACCACCACTTCCTCCTCCTCCCCCTCCTCCTCCTGCTACTGCTGCTGGCGTCACATCACCTGCACCAGCCCCTGCTGACCCTGACCCTGCGCCTTCCTGTGCCACTCCGACTGTTCCTACTGCTCCAACTGCTACTTCTACAGCTGCTACTGTTACAGCTGCCTCGGCTCGCATCACAGGACTGATCACCAGCAGCTGCTGCCCCGTCCCCACCAGCAGCACCCCCTGTGGGGCCCACGACAAGCACCGAACAGATCCCACCTCCCCCAGGTCCACCCGCCCCACCTCCACCCACCCCGCCCACCCAGGGGCCTTCCACCCCCCTCCCCCTGCCACCTCCGCTGAATCCCGCCTCCCCGTGGTAGCTTCCTGGATCCTTCCTCCAGACCGATTCCATTCCTGGTACACGTTCCCCCGATCCTGACCCGGACCAGAACCAGCAGTGCCGCTGCCACTACCACCCCCAGTACCAGTCACACCATCAGCAGAGGCATTAGCAGACGAGCTTAGGGAGTTGGTGGAATCAGGATCAAGGGGAAGAGGGGTAGGGGTGCGGGCGCGTGCAAAGACACAAACCCTAGCTGCAGCAGCTACTGCAAGAAGTGAATGGCCACTGCCAGAATCGTGCCAAGCCATGAGCACTGCTTCGGGCCCCCCGAACCATTCCAGAGCACCAGGTTCGGCAGAAGCAGCCCCTCCAGTTAAAGCGGTTAGTGGGATTAGAGAGACTTGAATTTCTCCTTCCAGTCGAAAGGATGACCAGCCATGAATGGCAGCAGGAAGCATCTCCCAAAGCGACACAGTTGTCCCAGTTGATAACCCCCTTTCTGTTTCAGCATCTGCTGCAGCAGAGACTGCTTCAGTTGCTGGTTCGTTTGCTGTTGCGTCTCCTCCTCCTCTCGCCACTGAAGCGAACAGCGTCCCACTCGGACACGCGCTGGTGCTTATAACGGGACCAGAGGACACTCTAACGCAGCCAACGCATTCCCAAGCTCCAGAGCTGCTAATCTCTTCCGTAGCTGGTGCTGCAGCTGCTGCTGCAGCTGCTGCTGTTGCTGCTGCTGCTGCTGCTGCTGTATCGTGTGTGTCACAACTCACTGCTGTCTCAATTCCCGTCTCCTTCCAGAATCGCATGCACCCATCGCTGCATCCAACTGCGAACTCATACGGCAAGCCCTCCTCCCTCTCCTCCTCGTGCTTCCCCTTGGGCAGCCCAAAACGGGCACCAAACTGGCCAGATCCAAACTGACCGGATCCAAATTGTCCAGATTCAAACTGCCCGGATCCAAACTGGCCAGATTCAAACTGCCCGGATCCAAATTTCCCAGATTCAAACTGCCCGGATCCAAACTGGCCAGATTCAAACTGCCCGGATCCAAACTGCCCGGAAGTAGCAGAAGCAGCTCCTGCCCCTGAAAGCAAACCACCAGCCTTCTCCAGCCACCCCCTTCGACTCAACATCTCTTGCAAAGCCTGCAATTCAGAAGAACCAGACAGACCAGCACTACCAGCACTACCAGCAGTACCAGTACCACTGACAGTGGCATGTAAAGCACCACCTGCACCACCTGCTTTAAATGGAGACGCCCATATTGAGTCATTCACAGGAGCGCAGTGCAGGCACGTGACCCGGCGACTGCTCGCAAACCTGATCACACGTGTGCTCGTCGTTACAGCTTCTACCCCCTCTCCACCCTCTCCCTCCCCTCGTTCCCCTCCTTTTCCTTCCTCCCCTCCTCCCTTGGCTCCACCCACACCCACCAGCCAGCCAACGGCATTCTCTTCCCATGCTGCTCCCTCCACTCCTTCCACTCCTTCCTCGCTTTCCCCTGCTTTCCCCTCGTCAGTGATATCCCTACATCCCGCCGACTCCTTCTGTGTGTGTACGACCGCCCTTGCCTCACCCCTCTGAATGCAGATCTCCACAGTCCACACGCACACACACAGCCCGCCCTGCCCCACACCCACCACCCGAACCCCTCTTTTCTCCCCTCTGCCTGACCCAGCAAGACCTGCAGCAGCTGTATCCGTCTGAGTTAAGGAGGAGGAAGCGGCAGCAGATTGGGGCGTGTGAGGCAGGCAGGCAACACCCAGGAGCGTACCAGCTGTAGTAGCAGTTGCAGTGGCAACACCTGCAGCTTCCTCTGCAGGTGCTTCAGGGAATGGGCTCAGGGGAGTGAGAGAGCACAGCCACTTGCACTCTGCACGCTCCTCCTCTGCATCACCAAGATACCCCCCCGCTCCATGCCCCCCATGTTCCCTGTGCTCCCTGTGTTCCCCATGATGCTCGCTTCCCCCTGCATTCTCTCCCTCCCTCCCCTCACGCACGCGCCTCACTAGATACAGCTCCACCCTCCCCATGCCCGCAACAGCCAATACGCTACCGCCACCTAGCAGCAGCACAGGCGCCCATGCCAACCGTGCAAAACCCCTCTCATTTCCATTTCCACCACTGCCTGGAACAGCTGGAAGAATCGACCCCAGCAGAACCCACTCGTTCGAAGCACCTTCTGGGGTTTCCGTGACGAGAGGGAGCCAGGGAGGGGCACGAGGGCCCCACAGGAGAATGTTTCCATGGGCATCTAAGGTGGCAGCAAGAGGCAAACCCGGTGCTGGGTGAACTGCTACCTCTGTAATCGCCCCTCTATGCCCTGTCAGACGCACGTACTGACTCACAGACCCCCATGCTGTCCTCCTGCTGCTGGCAATGGCGCCGCCGCTGCTGCTGTTCATGTGACCGCTGCTGCTGTTGTGGCTGCTGTAACCTGCATTACCATGCTGTGCCCCTCCTGCGACCCCTCCTGTTGCCCCATGCCCATCTGCTCCTGCCCCGCTGCCAGCAATTCTGCCCCCCAGTTTCCCCCCGGCTCCGATTGCTAGCACGGGCGGCCACAGGCGGGACCAGCGCACGAAGCTTCCGGGCAGCTTCTCCGCGATTTCGACAGCCATGGGAGGGCTTCCGGACTGGCCGGTGACTCTTTGGACAATGGCTGAAATGAGGTGGGTGGTGGGGCTGGAATGGTGAGTGTGACTGTTGCGGGTGTGATTGTAAGTGTGATCCTCCAAACTTGTGTTGTTAAGAGCCTTATCCTGAAGGACGCCAGTTGCTTGCTGCCACATCATCACGCGCGGACAGCGAGGCGGTGATGTGTCATCTAGGCAAAACACCGCCCAGAGAACCACAGTGCCACGTGGACCCACGCCAACCAGCCACTCACAGGGCGCCACGTCACCTCCCTGTATCACCTCAACCCCGAATGACCCCTTGCCTCCTGCGGCTCCCCCTCCCCCTCCTCCCACACTCACAGTCTTACTCCCATCACCCACCCGAACCTCCTTTGCCCACAGCACAGCTATATCCATGCCCAATCTCCCTCCAAGAGTCATGTTCCCGTCAACAACAGCACAGACAAAGAAAGCAGGAGGGGGAGCCCATCTCCCCTCTTCAGATGATTGCCTCCCTGTCCCCTTCCTTCCCTTCTGACCGAACCCAGCCTCCAGGTTCGGATTCTCGTTCTGGTTCCCGTACCTGCTGCTCCCAGGGTGCTTCGGCGAGCTCAATCTGCTCCCGGCCCGGCTCCCCGAACCTGCCGCTCCTGCCGAGCCTCCAGCTTTGGTTCGACTGCTGCCACTGTCAATCTCCATCCATAGCCGCACCGTGCCATCTTCAGCACAGGTCAGCAGGATCGGACGGTGGTACGGCGCCGAACCAAATCCGCCTGTTCCAGCTGCACCTGCACCAGTTGCACCTACCCCAGAAGAGGACAAAAGCTGGGAGGCTGCATCTTGTGGCCTCCACTGAACTGCCAGCACAGGTGCGGGGTGAGGCAGATCAACCACAGACACAGCATCATCATCATCCTCTTCCACCTCATCCTCCTCCCCATCCTCCTCCGCACCCTCCTCATCCCCTCCTTCTACATCAGCCTCCGTATCCCTCATACCCTCTCCTGAAACACGCACAACCCCTTCACTCGTCCCATTGGCTAATCGTTGTCTGCTTGCACCCTCCGCATCACCATCAGCATCAAATGAGCACTGGTCTCCCCAATAATACCACACCCTCGCCATGCCCTTCGGCCGTCCCCATGCCGACCCCACTCCTCCAACTCCTCCATCTCCTCCGTCTCCTACTGCCACATCAGCAGTAGCAGCAAATCCATCCGCATGCAGCGAGGTCGCGGCCAGTCCCTGCGCGACACTTGTCTGCACCTGCCACAGACACGTCAGCGGCTGCAGCAGGGCCGTGATGTGCTGCTTCTTCTTGGAACGGTGCCACATGGCGACATTTGATTCGCCGCTGATCAGAAGGCCATCAGCTGAACCAGTCCATGCGAGGGAGGTGACCTTGGAGGGGAACTGAATCAGCTGAGCGGGCCGCCATGAAAGGGGGATATCTGCACAGACGAACAGCAAGGCACATAAAGGAACAGGACTCAGGGGTTTGAGGTCGTCGTCTGCTGAGCCGTCCACGAAAGCGAGACGACCTCAGACGGGAACTGAATCAGCTGAGCGGGCCGCCATGAAAGGGGGATATCTGCACAGACGATAGCAAGGCACATGAAGGGACAGGAATAAGGGGTTTCAGATCGACTGCTGACCCAGTCCATGCGAGGGAGGTGATCTTGGAAGGGAACTGAATCAGCTGGGCAGGCCGCCATGAGAGCGGGATATCTGCAGAGACGAACAGCAATGCAAAGGAGAAAAGTTCTCAAATTTCAGACTGTCTGCTGACTCAGACCAAGCAAGGCGAGAGAGATAAACTTAGAGAGGAAGTGGATCAGCTGGGCAGGCGGCCATGAGAGGGGGATATCTGCAGTGACGAACAGCAGGAGCAGCAGAAAGATAGTTCATTTGGACTATCGGTTATAAGAAGTGACACCAGAAGGGAACTGGGTAGGTACATGTAGCATGCAGCTAGAAACAGGAAAACTCTGCACAGACAACCAGGAGGGAAGACAGGAAAGGGGGGTCATTCAGACCCTCTGGTAGGAACAATGACATTGAAAAGAGACGGGATTAGCCAACTGGCACTCCATGATGCTGCAGGGTGTTTTTGAGTTTGAGAATTCTCAAAAACACCCTGCAGCAACAATGACATTGAAATGGGACGGGATTAGCCAACTGGTACTCCATGACGGGGACGAATTGGCGTGCAAAAGACAAGGAATCGGCGTGCAAAAGACAAGGAATCGCCGTGCAAAAGCCAAGGAATTGGCAAGAAAGACGCCTAATACCTTGGCAGAAGAGAGCGAAATGATAACTGCAGGATCCCTTGGCTGCAGCCGGAACACCAGTATTTTATACTCGACTAACTTGACCACAATAGCTCTGAAACTCATCGGATCTCAGTTACCTTGGCAACTCGGAGCGAAGAGGTAAACGCAGGTTCCCTTGGCAGCAGCTAGAACTCCCGCCAAGGTGCTATCCGGTGCAGCCCATGTCACAACGGCTACCTGATCCCTATCCTCCACAACCGGTAATTTCCCTGCAGCTTCCCCTTCTGCTCTTCTCTGGTCAGCCAAGATGTTATTTAAGGCGGGGAACGAGCGGTTCGCGGGATCCACGTCAGCAGATTCTGGATTGAGCGACGGCGGGAGTTCAAGGACCTGGTGATAGAAACGAGCGCCACGTGGCAGGCTGTCCTCTCGCGCGCCGCTGCCGTGCACGAGCCACGGAGCGGTTGTGATCACGACGCAGCCAACGGCGCCGTATGCCAGCCAGCTGTGGCCGGCGAAGCTTCGGAGCCAATCAGCGGCTGCGGGAATTTCGTTCGCCCGAGGCGGGAGGGATTGCTGGGGAGTAAGCTGGAAGAAGAGCGACGCCGTCTCGTCCATGGCTGGAAATTTCTAGAATGATGTTGTACGCATCAGCGATCAAGACTGTTCGTCCGTCTTGCCAGGAAGATTGCTAAATCTACTCGACATTCCCTTATGCACTGGCACCGAACCGAGACGATTGACTAGGTTTTTCCCGCATGAACTGCCTCGAAGATGGTTACCAGGAAAAGAAGAACCCAAGGTCGGTCGGTCCATTGTGGTCAGTTCTGAAGGACAAGTTCGACAGCAGCCATTGAAGAGGAAGCCATCGAAATTGTCATGCGAAATGCCCTGTGCTCGGGTTCTGCTGGCACGCTGTTGAAATTGCCTGGTTTCAGTGGGATTTGTTAGTATACTACAGTGCAGCATAATCAAGTATGGGTAATTCCTAAGGAAAAAAAACTAACACAATCACAACCACCAAAAGGTATTACAAACCCTGGTGCGCCTGCACCTGCAACCCCACCCTCTCCAACTGCTTCGCAACACACCAAAAGCCTCCAAGAACAAGACGTCCACAAAGTCCTTGGATGGTCAGCCCCTTAACCTTCTGTTGTGCGAATGCAAAGAAGAATGGGCCGAACGGGTCTCCTTGTCTCAACTACCGTGTAGAAGCTAGGACCTCCACAAACCGGCCTACCA